GAAGCAAAGTGCTAAATATTTATGCAATGATGAAAAGGTGAATTTGGCCAACCTCTATCTTATCCCTCGTCAATGTCCACTAATCCTGACAATCTGAGATCACTTGAAGGCCACTAGGATGAATATGGTTTTCCCTAGGCTATGGGGAGCTGAACCGCATTATGGCATGATGCTTCTTTCCTGCCTGAAAGCAACTTGGCACCTACCAAGAATCAAACCTGCTATTTATTCAATTAATATGCCTATCAACTCTTTGTGATATAAATTGAACTGCTAGTTAATCAGCATTAGCCCAATTATTGCACTGCTATTTTGCAGAGTTCTCTCTATACCATAGGTTTTAAAAGCACCACATTTTTCAAACAGAAGCCACATCATAAATATCACTCTTTTGTTATGCTTTGTCATCTAAGCAAAATGCTTGGATAAAGAAAAGTTATAGAAATGTCATACTCATGTGATACAGGAAATATCAGGCAGTATTGTTATTTGCTGAATGAGTGCAGTGGGGACACCACTTCAGACAGATACTCTTTTAAAACTTTCAACTCATGAGCAACATTGAAAAGGCAGAAGACTAAAGGCAGAAGGGTGGAAAAGGAAATAACACAGAACTGACCCAACAATACATCATAATTAGAAGCCAACAGAAAACTGAAAATAGGAAATGGGAGGATAAAGATGAGGCCATTAGCCCCAAGAAATTTAATTGATCATTCAGGAAAGTCTGCTGACCTATCAAAAAGGATGACTTTCTTCAGTCCATAAAATCTTTTTGTCTGCTTGAGATGTTCATCCAAAGGCAAGTTCTTGGCGATTATTTGCTGAACCATGGCAAACTGCCAAGACTGTGGATAGGGTGAGGAGGCATGGTCCATGTCTGCTGCAGATTACTGGGGCTAGAATACTGTGCTGTTGGTGATAATCAGATCTACACACTTGCTAAACGAGTTTACTGTGTCCTTTCCCATTTCTTAATTCTTATATTCTAGCCTTGCCTACACACCTCCTCACCCCAAAACGAAGCCGACTGTCTCATATAACAACAACACGTATTTATATTGCTCCTTTAATGTAGTAACCATCCCGCGGGGGCTTTACAGAAATATTACAAAACAAAATATAACACCAAGTCACAAAAGATGATATTAGGTCATATCATCAAAGGAACTATTAAGTCAAAGAGGCAGGTATTGAGAAGCATTTTAAAAAGGAAAGCAAAAAGTAGAGGAAAGGTTTTAGGGAACTCAATTTCAGAACTGAGGATCTAGGCAACCAAAGACATGGCCACCAATGGGTTAAAATAGAGGATACTCAAGATGCCAGAATTATAGGAGTGCAGGTATCTCAGAGGGCTGTAGGAGATTACAGAGAGTGTGAGGGATAAAAAAGTCTTGGAGAGATTGGAAAACAAATATGGGAATTTTAAAATCAATGGTATTTCTTGAATTTGGGCCAATGTAGACCATTGAATATGAGGTGATAGTTGAACAGGACTTGATTCAAGTCAAGACACAGGTGGCAGAGTGTCGGATGACCTTAAATTTAAGGGTGGTGGAAAGTGAGTGATCAACAAGCAGTACACTTGAACAGTTAAGTCTAAAGATAATGAAGGTGTTGATTGTCACATTGACTCTCCACACTTACTTATGGCTTCTCAAGTATTGGGACTTAATATTCTGCCAACCTCTACTTCCCACTTATAAGATCATAAGAATTCAAGCTTTTGTTTTTTTTGTGTGCCATCATTGGTTGTGGATGTTGCTAACAAGGCTACAACTTATTGTCCATCCCTCCTGCAGCAGTCCCTAGGGTGGGGGCACATTCTCAGTTAGGAAGGGAGTTCCAGGATTTTGACCCAGTGACAGTTAGGGAACAGTGATGTCATTCCAAGACAGGATGGGATGAAGCATGGAGGGCAATTTGAAAGTGATGATGCTCCCATGTATTTACTGCCCTTGTCCTTCTAGATGAGAGAGTTCAGGCGTCTGAAAGGTGTGGTCCAAGGAGCCTTGTTGTTATGATCTGGAACTCATGGCCTGAACAGTGGAAGCAACTTTCAAAGGGGAATTGAACAAATATTTGAAAGAACAAAAATTCTAAAATTATAGAATAAACGGACAGGAGGAGTAATTGTGGACATTCAGTCCATTGAGAAGAATAATGCTAAAGAAAAACTTTGTAGATGCTGGAAATCTGACAAAAGAAAAATGCTGGCAATGTTCAGCAGGTCTGGCAATGCTTGTGCAAAGGGAAACAGTTCATGTTCCAGGTGAATGACTCTTCCAGAACTGAAGACCAATGTTCGTTTACAGATGATTAAAGCACAGTCGGCACTTATGGCGACCCCTGTCCCTCTGATACTTATGACCCTGACAAAGGTTCCCTGATCTGAGCAGATTCGCCGAGAACTTCTTCCTACTTTCGTTATATTTCTCCAGAATTGATGGGAGGGTGTGTTGGTGCTAAGGAACATCACAATAGTATCATGTACATGCAATGGTGATACAACTTGGAATCCAAGCTTGGCTGTGACCATATTGCAAAGTCTCAAACATTGAAAAATGGAGAGCTCAAATCAGTAAATAGTAAAACTTGCCAGGAGTTCGTTAACTGCTGCTTAATTTCTGCAAATATTTGTAACTTCCCGATTCGTAAAAGACGATTATAATATACCGTACTTGCAATGAAGAATGGAATGAAGAATGAAATGGCAGAAGCCATTTGAAAAAAGCATGGATAAATATTTCAAGCAGAGAAAAATATAAAGCTGTTCAGGGATTTCGCAGAGCAGTGATATTCAGGTAACAAACAAACACGATGGGTTAAATAGTCTTTAATCAGCCATGAATTTCTTTTTTTCAATAGTACTAATTCAAACATCAAATAGAAAAAAAAATTGTTCAAATGCACGTTAACTGATAGTTAATGCTTGCATCGAGTCACAAAGTACAGAAACTGACCCTTCGATCCAAGCAGTCTATGCCGAACACAATCCCAAATTAAACTAGTCCCACCTGCCTGCACTTGGCCTGTATCCCCCCCAGACGGTTCTTATTCATGTACTTATCCAAATGTCTTTTAAATACTGTAACTGTACACGCATCCACCATTTCCTCTGGGAATTTATTCCACATACAAATCATTCTCTGTGTAAAAAAGATGCCCCTCATTTTTTTTTTAAATCTTTCTCCTCTCACCTTAACTACATGTCCCCAAGTATTGAAACCTCCCACCCTAGGGAAAAGACACCTATCATTCATCTTACTTGTTGGACATTTTCTGCTTTGAAATATCAATGTGACTCAAACAGCAATGTGATAATAATCAGATAATCTGCTTTAATAATATTGAAGAATGCAATTAGATATTTTACATCCACCCTGGAAGATGGATGCAGGACCTCAGTTTGACATCCCATCTGAAAAACTGCAACTCCAACAGTGTGTGTTCTCACAGTTCTTGCACTCATGGGCCAGCCTACAGAAAATGCTTGAATCTCCAGATTGGGACTTGAACACACAACATTCTGACTCAGAGTCCCGACTGGCATTGATATAACATTCAGCTTTTTCAGGCTGTGCCCGAGCACAGTGAGCTAAGGCCATGGAAGTTCTCAGCTGTCCCATGCCATGGTATCTCTTAACAACCCTGCAGGTAAGCCTTGCCTCGCATACCTGAGCAATTCCCAGGCCTGGTAGCCCTGGAAGATAAACCCCATGCTGTTAACGCACACACAGAAAGAAATGGAATTCTGGCTGACAGCTTTGCTGTAATTCAATTTATTTTTATGTGTGAGTCATTTGTAAATTCATGCTGTTTGTAAATTCAAGAAAATAAGTTTACAATAGAGTTAACTATGTTCCATACCTGGACCTTAAATAAACAGCTAAGGACATTCTTAAAATTGAATGCATAACCATAAATAGGAAATAAATGCTCAGTTCAGAAACAAAACATTCATATTTCAGCCCTGTAATTACACTGCATCTGAAACTACTGTCTCTGATCTAACATGATAACCATGTAACTTGCTGTGCTTTTTCAGGAAAATCTATTTTTGAAACAAAACTATTTGTAAGAAATTACTGATAGTCTGAACTACAGATTGCACAACACCAAAAAAAGAGGTTACTCTTTCCTATGTCTTACACAATTATTGAACCTTGACTCAAATGGGCTATCACATCCATTTCGCATTAACTCCTTTGCCAGGGACTTGGGCACGTAATCTAGATTGATACTGTCCAGAACAGTACTGAGGGAGTTCTGCACAGTCAGAAGTGGCATCCACCAAATGAGAATTTCGACTGAGGTTCTACCTGCTTGCTCAAATTGCTTCTGTGAATGCTATCGATCCTGTGACACTTGGCAAGGAGTTTCCTTTGACATTCTGGTTACCATTCTCTTAGCCAAAGTCACAAACGCAGAGAACCTTATTACCAACTTAAATTATGAAAAATGACCACATTTGCCCACAGAATAGCTGTCACTTAACTTTGTAATATGTCACTATGTCAAGTAGTTTGAATATTATCTGCGAGATGTCGTACAGAGTTATATTATAGACTCACTGCATAGTTATGATTTAACTATTCAATGGTGCCCATTTGGCCAAGCAGGAGCTGTAAGAGCAATTTATGTAGCCTCCATTCCCCATTCTTTCCCTGTGGCCCAGTAATATAGATGTAATTTTTTCACATTTATCTATAATTAATAAACAAAAAAAATTAAATCAGAAGGAAACACAAGTAAGCTGGGAAAAATGTCTCGGTGCAGAGACTTATCTCCAAAATGATTGCATTGACCCTGTTGCTCCAAAGGTTGAACAATTCTTAAATTCTTTTGGCCCTATTCAATTATTTTAACTTCACTATAAGAAGCCCTGGGTAGCAAACCTTAACCCCTCATTTTACAACTTTCCTGCACAAATTGCAATCCACCCCCAACATATAAATCTTCAACGTACTAACAGCAAACGAAAAGAAAAGGCAGCTTACCAAAACGGGAAATCCAGTCAAAAAGTCGTAGATAAAAACTATTCCACTGATTAAGTAGGTTATCTGGAGAGAGGTTTTTAGTGGTTCGGAGCCATCAATGGATGACCTCCTGTTACCCTGTGCATCTTCCACTACGATTGTGGGCACATTGAATTTGTTCTTGTTAGTATTGTTTCCGGCTTGGACAGTGAATGTTTGAAAGAGGGCGATGCCAATGCAGACCATGCCCATCACTACACTCCCACTAATCAGTAACAGGAAGCAGACCCCAAAACCGAGACCTATCTCTGTGACGATGAAACGGCAGTCCTTGGCATAGAAGCGTTCTGTGGTGTCATGCCAGCCCACTGCGGGTAATGTAGATAGAATGAAGGATACCATCCAAATTCCCATCACCGTGTGCACAGCTTGCTTCTTGGTGTTACTCAACCTGGAACAGTTATTAAAAACAGTTAGACACCTTCCTGGTTCTAAACACCACTTACAATGTACTGTTCAAACATAATGACTGTAAGTACTACTTAATAACTCTCACTTTTCTCTTGGTACGACATATAAAAGAATTGTATTTCACAGAACTTGCAGCAGAACAACAAGCTGTGCAGTATAAAACGTCTATCCATGCCTGCATTTATGCCACAGACCCGCCTCTGCTCACTCATGTAAACCTACTTTTGAAGTATCATTTTCAAGTTTTGTTGTCCATGGTTAATAACTGGAGGTAAGTGAAAGGTCTTTTACAAACAGAAGATAGAAAACATAATGTGCAGGAAGGCTGACGTTTCGGGCCTGGACCCTTCTTCAGAAATGGGGGAGGAGAAGGGGGTTCTGAAATAAATAGGGAGAGAGTGGGAGGCGGATAGAAGATGGATAGAGGAGAAGATAGGTGGAGAGGAGACAGACAGGTCAAAGAGGCGGGGCTGGAGCCAGTAAAGGTGAGTGTAGCTGGGGAGTTAGGGAGGGGATAGGTCAGTCCAGGGAGGACGGACAGGTCAAGGGGACAGGATGAGGTTAGTAGGTAGGAGATGGGGGTGGGGCTTGAAGTGGGAGGAGGGGATAGGTGGGAGGAAGGACAGGTTAGGGAGGCGGGGAACGAGCTGGGCTGGTTTTGGGATGCGATAGGGGGAGGGGAGATTTTGAAGCTTGTGAAATCCACATTGATACCATTGGGCTGCAGGGTTCCCAAGCGGAATATGAGTTGCTGTTCCTGCAACCTTCGGGTGGCATCGTTGTGGCACTGCAGGAGGCCCAGGATGGACATGTCGTCTGAGGAATGGGAGGGGGAGTTGAAATGGTTCACGACTGGGAGGTGCAGTTGTTTAGTGCGAACCGAGAGTAGGTGTTCTGCAAAGCGGTCCCCAAGACTCCGCTTGGAATCCCCGATGTAGAGGAGGCCACAACGGGAACAGCGGATGCAGTATACCACATTAGCAGATGTGCAGGTGAACATCTGCTTGATGTGGAAAGTCTTCTTGGGGCCTAGGATGGGGGTGAGGGGGGAGGTGTAGGGGCAGGTGTAGCACTTCCTGCGGTTGCAGGGAAAAGTGCCTGGTGTGGTGGGGCTGGAAGGGAGTGTGGAGCGGACAAGGGAGTCACGGAGAGAGTGGTCCCTCCGGAAAGCAGATAAGGGTGGGGAGGGAAAAATGTCTTTGGTGCTGGGGTCGGATTGCAGATGGCGGAAGTGTCGGAGGATGATGCGTTGGATCCGGAGGTTGGTGGGGTGGTACGTGAGGACGACGGGGATTCTGTTTTGGTTGTTATTGCGGGGAGGGGGTGTGAGGGATGAGTTGCGGGAAGTGCGGGAGACACGGTCGAGGGCGTTCTCGACCACTGAGTGGGGGAAGTTGCGGTCCTTGAAAAATGAGGACATCTGAGATGTATGGGAGTGGAATGCCTCATCCTGGGAGCAGATGCGGCGGCAGCGAAGGAATTGGGAATGGGGATGGCATTTTGCAGGAAGGTGGGTGGGAAGAGGTGTATTCTAGGAAGCTGTGGGAGTCGGTGGGCTTGAAATGGATATCGGTTTCTAGGTGGTTGCCAGAGATGGAGACAGAGAGGTCCAGGAAGGAGAGAGAGGTATTAAAGATGGTCCAGGTGAACTTAAGGTTGGGGTGGAAGGTGTTGGTGAAGTGGTGAAGTAGGAGCACGAGGCGGTGCCGATACAGTCATCAATGTAACGGAGGAAGAGGTGGGGTTTAGGGCCAGTGTAGGTACGGAAGAGGGATTGTTCCACGTAACCTACAAAGACGCAGGCATAGCTTGGGCCCATGCGGGTACCCATGGCCACCCCCTTTGTCTGTAGGAAGTGGGAGGAATTGAAAGAGAAGTTGTTGAGGGTGAGGACAAGTTCGGCTAAGCGGATGAGGGTGTCAGTGGAGGGGGACTGGTCGGGCCTGCGGGACAGGAAGAAGCGGAGGGCCTTTAGGCCATCTGTATGGGAAATGCAGGTGTAAAGGGACTGGACGTCCATGGTAAAGATGAGGTGTTGGGGACCGGGGAATTGGAAGTTCTGGAGGAGGTGGAGGGCGTGGGTGGTGTCACGGACATAGGTAGGGAGTTCCTGGACAAAGGGGGAGAAAATGGAGTCGAGATAGGTGGACATAAGTTCGGTGGGGCTGGGGCAGGAGCAGGCGGAGACAACACCCGACACTTTTCCCTGCAACTGCAGGAAGTACTACACCTGCCCCTACACCACCCCCCTCACCCCCATCCTAGGCCCCAAGAAGACTTTCCACATCAAGCAGATGTTCACCTGCACATCTGCTAATGTGGTATACTGCATCCGCTGTTCCCGTTGTGGCCTCCTCTACATCAGGGAAACCAAGCGGAGGCTTGGGGACCGCTTTGCAGAACACCTACTCTCGGTTCGCACTAAACAACTGCACCTCCCAGTCGTGAACCATTTCAACTCCCCCTCCCATTCCTCAGACGACATGTCCATCCTGGGCCTCTTGCAGTGCCACAACGACGCTACCCGAAGGTTGCAGGAGCAGCAACTCATATTCCACTTGGGAACCCTGCAGCTCAATGGTATCAATGTGGATTTCACAAGCTTCAAAATCTCCCCTCCTCCTACCGCATCCCAAAACCAGCCCAGCTCGTCCCCGCCTCCCTAACCTGTCCTTCCTCCCACCTATCCCCTCCTCCCACTTCAAGCCCCACCCCCATCTCCTACCTACTAACCTCATCCCGTCCCCTTGACCTGTCCGTCCTCCCTGGACTGACCTATCTCCTCCCTACCTCCCCACCTACACTCACCTTTACTGGCTCCATCCCCGCCTCTTTACCTGTCTGTCTCCTCTCCACCTATCTTCTCCTCTATCCATCTTCTATCTGCCTCCCCCTCTCTCCCTATTTATTTCAGAACCCCCTTCTCCTCCCCCATTTCTGAAGAAGGGTCCAGGCCCAAACGTCAGCATTCCTGCTCCTCTGATGCTGCTTGGCCTGCTGTGTTCATCCAGCTCTACCCCTTGTTATCTCAGATTCTCCAGCATCTGCAGTTCCTACTATTTCTGATAGAAAACTTAATGCTAAGATTACAAAGGATGCATGCTTTATCCTTAGATCATGAGCATTGCACTTTACTGTGAGTGCTCCTTTACTCATTTAAATCCCTGTCTAGAGTAATGCACAGCACTGACTCTCCAGCCAAACAGCATATCACATTGCCAATCTGTATCCTGTGTCTGCAGTGGTCTCTGAGGGAGGACATCACTTCAAAGCTGCGACAGAATTTTGGGAGGGGCAGGTGTTGAATGGTGTAGTCAACTGAAAAAAGGTTTCATTAAAGAACGAGGAGGTATCATCCATAAATGCTTCCATTGAGGTCGAGTTCTACATAGGCACATCCATCACATACAATATATAAACATACATCACATATTAAGACATACACATATGTCACAAATATTAACATAAGTACACATATACCACACGGCTGTAGACAATATTAGAGTGTTCTGTCACACTTCCCATATGTGAAAATGTTGAAAGTCACTGTGTAGCCAACATAACAGACATGGCATTTCAGATGATTAGCACGGATGGAATGATATCCTGATACAGCAGAAAGAGAGCAGAGAAAATCAGCAAATAAACTGGGAACAAACAGCAGCTGTGAGGTACAGGTTTCTAATGTTTATGCACACAAAAACCGACTTAAAAAGTAGAGATAACAAGGTGTAGAGCTGGATGAACACAGCAGGCCAAACAGCATCAGAGGAGCAGGAAGGTTGACGTTTCGGGCCTAGACCCTTC